TTAAAAAGGAGGAATTGGCGCGGAGCGGGGGCGGGGGGGGGGGGGGGGGGGTTTTTTTGCCAGGGCTGACAAGTTGTTTTTTTTTGAGACAACGGCAGTGTGATATGACTCCTGGTAGAGGTATGCATACGAGGACCGAAAGGGGTCGGCCTTGGCTGGATATGGTTTGGAACTGAGGGGTAAAATCGCTGTTTTTCTCCACACGGGAGTGAAGGTGGAATGGATGAGGAGCATTATATTCGTACCGGGCTTGCACTCTAAAAGGCGTTTTTACCGCGAGGCTTTATTCATGCACGTGTTATGTTTTTTATTTTTTGTGATTGCACGCGCTTTGACCGAGCAGCGCGAGCGAGGACGCCTTGAAGTGACTTTTGTGTTTTGTTTTTTCGTGTGGGTGTTCAGGATGCCCGGCACTCCTCCCCGGGGGCGTGTAGTTTGAGCTGCGTAGTAGGGCACGGTCGGTCCGCCCTCTTGGGGTGCAACTTAGAAAAGCGTTGGATGGAGGTTGCATGGGGCGGCAGAGGTTGTGCAGCCTTCCTCATGTCGTAATGTACAAAATAACAAACGTTGTCTTTCCCTGCGAGCGCTTCTGTCTGGGGCTGGGGAGGGAAGGTTTGGTGTGGTTAAGAAGTAGTATGAGATGGCAGCCTGGGACGTTTGTTTACTGGTACCTTGATTTTAGAAGAATGGACAGAAGAAGTTCGAGAGTGCCAAGCCAGCCCCACTACATAGAACAGTACACGCTTTGCCGATAAGATAAAGAACGCCAACAAGGCGTCGATTGTGGGGTGTCTTATTAGCATGCTTCCTTGCGTTCTGAGCCCACCCTTTCGAACCACACTTATTACTCAGTTGTCGGCATTGTTGCCGTTCCTTGTCATCGGTTTTTAACGGGGGGTGGGGGGCGCGAAGGAAGGGCAGGGCAGGAAAACCCTGAGGGTGTTGTGTCGGGCGTGCACTGCGTGTGTGTGGGTTCTCCTCTCCTTCCGCACATCAACGAACGGTCGGTGTATATTACATAGTAGGCCCCTTTCAGTCCCTTCTCCGTGTGCATTTGCGTTTGCCTGCACTCTCATCGCCTTGAATTCGATCGAGGTGCGTTTTTGCACCCAATGTGAGCCACACACGTGTGCTTATTTCCTTTCACGCGCTGGCGTTTTTTGTTTTTTGTAGTGTTAGGCTTGCATGTTTTCTTGCGTAGAAATTAGCTTGGCTCGTTGATGCGCGGCTTCGACCTAGAGTTGTATTGCGGTCGCCTGGTGTTCGGGTAGGTACAACGTATGAATGACTTGGTTGGAGAGCCTGGCGATCATGCCGTGCCGGGCGGTGCTTGATGTTGCATGCAAAGAGTCTCGCCATAGTTAAATATTTAATATTTAAATTCGTGCGCCTGTCATCACCTCTTCGCTCAACTCTAATATTAATAGTTCCGTCCTATCAATCTCGTTTGTTTGCGTCACGCAATACTTTGACAGATGAGAAAAAAACAAACGAATGTGCGTGTCCCGTTGTGGTTTACAAGGCCCGTCACCACACACCAATAGGCGTAAGAAGAATGCGGACAGCCCACCTCCAGGCCGCCATCGATGGCAGCACCACATCGTGCATGTCCCAGGGAAACGGGTAACCTCACCACTAAAAATATGTTCATTTTCATTTTCCCTAGAGAAAAATGGGCACTTTTTTTTTTTTTTTCTCCTCGGCGTGCGATGTCGTTGATATATATACTCGTTATAACCCCAATTGCCGCTGCAGCGAAAGGTAACGCCGCGCCAATCAGTGACTTTCAATGTAGCCGTCAGGCGAACAACACCACGGACGACGGATTATTATTCGTTTACCACGACCTTAACCTAACCTGCCGGGAGAAAGACAAAAAGTAACGAATCGCGTGCGCCAATCACTGGACAGCAGTACAATCCAAAAAAGGCATTAGCACCACAAAGCAATCGACAACAATCAAGAGCGACAGACACGGCGGACGGCGGGACGCTGCACACACTCTGGCATCTTCGACCAGGGTACACCCACCCACGCTGCTCAACGCGAGAAAAAAACACAACACCGGTACACGCACATCACGGCCGAGGAACGCAGAGAGCACCATGCCTGCGCTCGCTTAGACCCGGGATAACATAGTCTTTACATCTATTTCCTTAACGTGTACTCCAGCGCGCAACATATGCAACATGTGAGTGTTGACCGCTCTACGGGGTTAGATACGAAACAAACGAATCAACGAACGATCACCAAACGACCTTGTGCTAGCTAGCAAACCTTTATTTGTACTCCAGGAGAATGTATGGCGATCTTGCACGTTGCCTCCGGTCCACGCACCACGCACCACGCACGGGTAGGTATTTACCGCGAATCAAAACCGATCCACGCACACACGACGACACCTACTCTGTAAGCCTTACGCGCATGGCCCTACCCAAATGTAGCAGTCATCCCAGTTCTTCGTGGCCAGCTAACTGCAGGCTCTTGCGATTGAGAATGCCCACAACCGCGAGGGACCGCTCGCTCCCCTCGGTCCTGCGCCTATCCCCAGCGGACAACCCAACACTCTCGAACAAATCTCATCACCATTTCCTGAAAGAAGGATCCCTCGGACTCCGCAAAAAAAAAACACGAAAACAACAACGAGACCGAGTCTTCGTAGATTGTTTCAAAGCAAAAAAAAAAAAAACGTGCATGGGACGATTCAAGACGTACTTTCGCCAAGCTAAACTTCAGTGCAAAGCCAGCATTGCTGGGAATCTGCCACGTTCTTGGACACAGTTTTCCAGTACCGGTAACAATAGCTCTGTAAGTGAACAGCTCATCCATGTTCTTTTCCTCGCGTAACTTAGCCTAATACCGTTCTTGATTTTTTTTTAAGTCCCACTACAACCTGGCGCCAGAGAGAGGAAGCTAACGCCCATCATTCTTTTCGACCGCAAGGGGCAACCGAACACCAACTGAAATCGCCACCAGGGTGGCGACGTCTAGCTCCTTTACATGGGAGATAGGGATTCCCGGCAGCTAACTTAGAGACGGACTGCCCAAGGGGCTCACACGAAAACAAGACACCCGAGGGTGGCAAACACCGCACTGCCAACGACGTCGAAAAGCACCACCACCGGGCGAACAGTTACAACACACGCAAGCACTAAATGGACAAACTGGCAACACAGCAGTGAGTGGACCAAACCGACAACAATACACGGGGGGCAAGGCAGCACCACTTGAAGAACAAAAAACAGAAAAGACATGGGGATGCACCGAGTCCCTAAGAGTAAGACACGACGAACGCACAGTGCGCGCATCGCCACACAAATAAAATAAAAAATGGTACGTTACCATCTGTACCGACCGCAAAATTGCTACCCGAACAACCCAATCCCCGCGCGCTATTAATAGGGCTCTCACAGGCGGCATGGATAGGTCTCTCGCCACGCCCTCTCCCTTGTGTACAACTTGAGCGCGTTCTAAACTGGTCCCAAACACCCCAAAAGAAAAATAAAACAGCAAAGCGCTACTCGTTGACTACCCTCCATTCCCGCCTCCTGCAAGAATCGAACGACCAACACGGAATTCTAGGGGAGGGGGGGGTTGTACTCATAGTCGTGCATGCCGTAGTCGTTATTAGACCATTGACCTCGCATCCCTACAAAGCAGGGACGGAGCACGCCGGGTTTCTCACCGAACCAGGCTCTCACATCACCAAGCGCGAAGCGCCGTGACGTGTTCGGCATCTTGAAGGGGGGGTGGTGCACGTAACGGTACTCAGAGGAGGCCGGCTCGACAGCATCAGCCCCCC